ACTATGGAGAGAGCAACATGTAACATACCAAGAGACTATAGAGAGAGCTAACATACCAAGAGACTATGGAGAGAGCTAACATACCAAGGGATTATAGAAAGAGCTAACACACCAAAGAATTATTGGGCTTTTCAACTACAGAATTTTAATTATTACTAATTATCTACGACACATATACAAATTAAGACCGATGTACTTTGTTCCATGAGAATTCCTGACTCTTTGATACAAGTATAATGACAACTTACTGGCTTTGCTGTTCGTGGTTTACATGAGCACTTCCAGGATCCATTGCTGTCAGCAACCTCTTATTCTCACAGTATACCCCACTGCTGTTGCTATAGCAGTACCATCTGCTGCCATAGCAACACTTTGGATATTTTCATCACAGTGGAAATGATATGTAGGAGTAGATGTGTCTTTTAAGTTCCACACATCCACATCGCCTACAACAAGAAAATAGCAAACACCAATGTGAGATTCATAACAGCTAAAGGTCAAGTTTGGGGATAAAATTCATATCACATTTTGTCCATCAGTATATCTCTAATACAAGCTCAAATAAACCCAAATAAACCCAAATAAACTCAAATAAACCCAAATAAACCCAAATAAACCCAAAATAGCATTTATTGTATGCTAGATCATTGAAATATAACTGTATTCATTCGTTCATTCATTCGTTCATTTATTTCTTCCTTATTTATTTATTTATTTAATTTTGTCCATAGACATATCTGTTATTTACATATTCACTATACAGCAACTACAAAAAGGACTGAATTAAAACGATCTTTATAGACAGGTGGTCATTATATGAAGGTTGGAGTATTTTGTTATGGATTGCCAACTCTTATATTTGACATACATTTGGTACTATTGCAACAAAATCAAATTTTTATTTTAGTTGATCAAAATCAAATAAAATTGTTTTATAACAAAATGGAAATTATTAAAAAAAAAAGGCCAATCAGCAACATATTAGTACAGATGATCTTTTTACACAGGGTGCTTATATGTTATGCTTTGGGACTGCCTAAAAATATATATCAATACATGAGAAGAACTTGGATCATATTTAGTTTTAAACATCACATCAAAATAAAAACAGAAATCAGTTAACTCAACTTTATTCTAAAAATTATCACAATGCATATATAAAAACATTGTCAATAGTTTGTGTTGTTAATTTCAATTATAGGTATTCCACACTTAATTGGATCCTGCTTCCCGTTTATTTATCCCTAAGGGCAGTCTGACAAGGAAGTCTGCGATTTAGCTATCATTATAGTGATATATGTGAACACAAATAAAAAGATAGTTGAATTGAAGCCAAGTATGATGTTCAGAACATTAAACCAACTGGGCTTTCCATTAGATCACAATCTATATATGCGACGAATGTAGGTTAACGGCAACCGTGATAGATGTTCATTTAAGTTGAACAACATGGTCGTATTTTATCGTTACATTGGCGATGCCCATTAACTAAATTCACCAATCAACTCATAAATGTTACATGCATATTTACGATAATGATAAAAACAATGTGGATGTGTAAATCAGAGGTGACCACACGGAAACATAACTGATAACAGATGACACAGATTCCATCAAATAACTAATTTATCTTCAGATTCACATGATTCATTTTTCTGTCACATCCTTCCTCAATACTAAACTGTTTTTGGTTATGATTAATAACATTTTGTGGCATTTCTTAGATTCCTAAAATTAAGTGTCCAATCATCTTTTACAGATTGGAAAAAATACTCTTTAATAGCAAATTAATTTTTGCAAATATAAATTGAACCGATGCATATATTATCAAATTTGAAGTGTTTCAGTCATTGTTTTAAATTCATGAATATAAGTAATGTATTTGTGTGTGCTGTATACGTTTCATAACAAACATGCTTACAATTATTAAGCAGTCATGTATTAGAAATAGAGAAAGGTAGACATACACAACACACAACACCTTTAGAAGACAGAATCTGTAAGCGATGTTGCCAGATCAAAATGAAGAACATTTCTTATGGAATGTCTAGATACCAAAGAAGAAAGAAGAAATAAGAAATAAGTGATATTTAAATATATTATAAGTTCAAGAGAAGTCAGAATAATAAGACAAGTTGGTGAATGCTTATACAAAATATTTGAAATCAGAAATAACAATAACTGACATTTTACTTTTACTTTAGTATTTTATTACTATTTTATTTCTGTCAACCATTGGAAACTATTTTTTAAGGATGCAATAAATTTATTATTGTTATAAATTAATTAGTACTAAAAAGTATTAATTAAATTATGTAAAGGATTAAATTACATAATTCCATAATCTGGCAATTTTTACAACAATCAACTCAGTCCCTAATTACTGCAGAGGAGTCGAAAGATCCATGACTGCAGAAAAATTATATAAAGTTGATTTGTGCTGAATTTAATGTGCATAATTAAGAGGTGTTTCCATAACAACCAGCCATGCCTAAGGAAAATACAAATACAATGGAAACAAAACAAATATAATTTTTGCCTGAATTTGACACAAATTTTAAAACAAAATAATGATTACATGCTTTAATTAGTAAGACTATGATTTTGCTTTTGAGTGTTTGAATACAATGACATGTATCTCATGCACGTAAAATATAAAATGGGTCAAGATACCCATTAATGACATATACAATGATTTCCACTCAGTGGATAAGGAGACAGAATTGATGGATTATGCAAAGAGCGTATTTTAATGGCAACAGTAAATATGCCATGGACGAGGTGTCTCAATTCATGCTTGCATTTTATAATGATTTTCTATTAATGTGATCATCCTGTCCACAATCAGCAGCTTAGTGTCCATAAGATATCTTTTCAACAGTGCTAATAAAATACAGTAATTCTATTGTACTTAATTGTCAGAGACTATCAACTCAATTTGGCCATACTAACTCAACAATATGTTTGACACATTCTTGTTAACATATTATGCCAGGCATTTCTCGACTAACTGACTGAACGTTTTGACATGTGATAAAACGTAACTAATCTGAGTCTTCTTCTACAGTGTCAGAGTCAATTAACTCAGTTGTCCATACTGACTCAGTGACTTGCTTAACTAGGTTAATGTCTATTCATGACAAATAGTTTAATGCATCGTGATTGGACAGTCACATAAGTCTACACATGTTATAGAAAATATAAAACATTAATATGAAATTTGAATACAATGTGCTGTGTGATGGCACCTTTAGTTGTTTTTCCATTTAAATTCTACAAGCCCCCCCCCCCCCAGTTTTCAAATTGGTCACCCCTTATCAGGAAGTGAAAGCGCTTGTTAAACACAAAACATTCAAGTACATATTGGGGAATGTCATGATGTTACAAAGTGTTTATATCACGATAAATGTCTCTTTTGCGAAAGACACCAGCTTCTAACTCAAATGGCCTTCAACTCCCTATAAACATATCAGTTTAAATAAAAAACCAACTTTTCAATTACTTGCGTTTCCCCTGGACATTGTTATTAATCTTAATAGGGTAATTTGTGATAATCCGGATGGATACATGGATAAATCACCTGGAGCCACCTTCGTCTGCTTCCTCATCCAGCTGGCTTACTTTAGACTAAATTAGACTGTCAGAGTGGGGATAATCTTCGATTTTTATTAAGGTGTTCAAGTGATAGGCTCTTTTTGTCTCTAAAGACTCAGACAAATGGCAGTGCATTCTCTTAAATCAATCGAAACTTATTAGGAAAGTGATCTTACTCTCACTCTGATTATATCCCAGGGAGGTCACAGATGATTGACACTGGACAAAGTCAATGTCTCTGGAAACTATAATAATGAAATTTACATGAGGCAATCAATTTGTATTAAGAAATTCGCTGCTGTGTATAGTCATGCAACTTTTAATCATGATAGAATCCTACAGACCTGATAAAGTATTTTCAACATGGATATAGTATGTAAAAACTATTGAGTAAAACTAGCAGCCACCTGTTTAAAAAACAGTGGCACACATGGTAATGGGGATTTTCTCACAACCCTGTCATGCATATATGTGTGCACTAAAGCCAGTACTAAATATGGACTTTGATTCCTTAGCATATTTTGATGTGTATTTTAATCATTTTCAGGAATTTTGTACACATTCATCTTTGAAACAATCAAAGTCGTCATCTTTGTTTAATTATTAATTTTGTTTAAAGTGCCTGTGCAATGCCCACCCACACGCTTCCCATTTTAGATCTGTGCCCCACTGAAATGGGCAATTATTGATTTTTTTGCTGAAAATGATTACTCGTATCCAAGTAAATTTGAGATATTTCTCGTGCTGTAGCCATGCCCACCTATCCTGAAACGGTCGACTGTTTCCGGATTTCCGACTCGCGCCGAAAGTGCGCCACCAAATGCAAAAATTTGAGAGGAATCCATACCCCTGGGCCATACTTTTATATCACTGTGTCATTCAATGTACAACTGTACTTTTAAACGATATACATTTTTTAATCGGCGTTTTTTTTTTGTCTATTTCATTTTATTTTTGAGAGAGCGAATTTTTAGAAGTTGTTTTCACAACAAACTTTTATGATGGTTAAACGTTGTGTTGTGGGTGGTTGTAGTAATGCGTATAGTGTAAGTATTTAGACGTTTCCAATCGATCCGAAGGTGCGAAATCGGTGGACGAAAGCCGTGAAAATAACGAGAAAAGGTTGGGGTGGACTTCCTCCTAACAGCGTCATATGCAGTGTCCACTTCACCTCAGATTCTTTTTTTTTTGAAAAACTGTCCTTGTCCATGACAAAACAACTAGGTTTTAACGAGAAACGCCGACAATACAAAACGTTTTCGAATAAATAGATTCCAGACCAGCTCATGATCACTGAGACAGATTTCAGAATGAAATGACAAAACAACTAGGTTTTAACGAGAAACGCCGACAATACAAAACGTTTTCGAATAAATAGATTCCAGACCAGCTCATGATCACTGAGACAGATTTCAGAAGGGAGAGAGACGTCGAGTATGTGTTTCAAATGATTTGATTTTTTTTGCGATCCTGATTATCGCTTTATAAAGACCACCCGTGTTATGTAAAAAGGTAGCAGTAATTTTGATAATGACACAAAAACGAAGCGTCAGACAAACAGGAAATCATGCAGCCCTTAGGGCAGGCTAAAAGTGTCTGAATTGTTCGGTTATTGGTGTTGAATGTAGAATTCACACCTTTGTTGCCTTTACTTGCAGCTTGATCGGCGTAATAATTTACGGAATAAGAATCCGGGCTTGAGCTGTCAATGTATTTTTTTAATATGATGTCATAATCATGAAAATCACGCTAAATCCACTCTGAATTTGTCTGTATGTGAGTCGCTCTCAATTATTTTTGTTATCCAATTAAACGCCGCCATTCACGCACTTGTCCCCCCCCCCATGACCCG